AAGTTTACATTATTTATATGGAGCAAAGTAAAACCATTTTTCAATGCTGTTCATGAGATCTTTAAAAGTACAGTATGAGCTGAGGGAAACATCTGAAGTGACAATCAGACTTCCGTTTATTTTTGATTTACTTCATTTTGTATATTGCTTTGTGTGTTGTTCTGTCTGTACAGCACTTTTGTTGGCCTTGTAGCTGTTTTAAGTGCTCTATAAATAAAATGGTATGGTATCAGACCGATCCAATAAAATTTAAAGTGTTTTCTCAAACATCAGGCCAGGACTCTGTGGTCTACTCATCTTCAGGCCAGCAGTCACTCGTCCAGGGATCAAGATGTTCACTTGATCGAGAGGAATGGTGGTTTGAGAGAGATTGAAGGAAGCCATCTTTGTGAAAAGAAACCTTTGTCCATTGTTAAATAGGGGCGAAGGCCTCCATGTCCACCTGCCCCCCCTTACAGAACTGTTATTGCCAGTATCACACAGCCCTGTGTGAATAGCAAGCAGCCAACAGGGCCCACTGATGGTCCTCCTCTATCGTGTGAACAGCTAGTTCTGGATGTCAACAACAAACTGGTTGATCCACTATGAGGAGGTGCTATTTACAAGACTGAGTTTAATGCAGCTCCTCAAACTGAAGACTTTTGGATAGAGGGCTGAGTGACACTAGCAACAACAGTACAGTATTGTAAGGAGACAATTGGACATGGAGCCTCCGCCAGTTTAACGATGGACGACTTCCTTCACTCCTCTCTCAAATTATTGGGCATGCATCAGGATGCTGAGGAAAAGTGTCTCTGCAGGGACTGATGTTTATTATTAACCCGTATTATGGAGAAACACTTACTGATGGCAGCTCGTTCCAGAACTCAAAACCTCCGACTGGACCTAAGATTCACCTTCTCACATAACCCAAAGCAAACGACACGAGTACCGCATACGGCACAGTACACGCCCATGGACAAACTACTATACAGCAATCTATAGCAATGGCCCTGACAAGCAGGCCGTGTACAACGTGATCGTGAAGTTGGAGCTGGGGTGGTGAAGATTACATGACACGCTGTGTAGTGGTGGTACAAATGTGCACCAAGTTTGGTTAAATTATTGCACTGATCTGAGGTTATGGCCTAGACAAGCAAAGGTCTTGCATAGCATTGGACCTGGAAGCTGGGGTGATGGAAAGATAGTGCACGCCAATTTATCTTGAGCAGAAGGAGTTATGGGCGGAACAAGAGAAATCTTACAGACATATGAACGGACGGACAAAAACTATATCTGCCTTTGAACGGGGGCATGGAATGGAAAACTTGGAGTGTCCTGGAGCGGCCCAGTCAAAAATCCTAACTAGAATCCTTCGCAACATTTCTGAACATTCTGGAAAATGACTAACCTTATCCAAGTGGACCGGAGGATTTGCAAAAGACACAAGATTCCTCACTCAGGTGCTCGAAGCCAAAGAAACACGAGTCAACGATGGCTGCCAAAGGCGATGAACGTTAAGGCATGCAAGTGTCTGTAAAGGCTAAAGCAAACTTTGGTTTATTTTAAATAAATTTACAAAGTTTTACAGTTCATCCCTTTTTTTCCACGACTGGGCAGAGCATCGATTAAACGATGGTAGCATCAGGCTCCAACATTAAACTGCAGAGACAAATATCCTGACGCATGCTCAATAATCCAGGTAGATAAACCTAACAAGGTCGAGTCGGGTCCTCTGGATGGATTCTTCTTTTGTTGAAACGTTAAAAAGACTTCTTCAGTCCGAGGAGATGCAACAAACTCAAGTCTTACAAGCCGCATCTTCTCATGGTGGATCAACCAGTTTGCTGATGACAGCCAGAAATACATGACACGTCCAGAGGACCTGACCCAACCTTGTAAAAAGTCCAAATACTTTCCAAACCCAACGTACAACCAAAATACTTTTACACTAAAAAATACTATTTGCAGGTATTTTATATTTGTCATGGTGGACTTCATCCTCCAGAACAGCCATGAGCTCAACCAATTTTCTATCAGGTTAAACTTTATTCAGTTCTTTGTAACTAAAGATTCAAGCTTTACAAAATAAAAACGTGTGAAAACCAATCTTTTTTTTCCTCTTCAAGAAACGACACACTGGTTTTGACATTTTCAATTAACAGAATTAAGAAAATCTAATGATTTAACCCATTGGACCCATGTTTAAAGACAACAAGCTCATTACATGAACAAAAGTTTAAACGTCATCTTATATACAAATTAATGAACAGTACATTCTCTCGTGAGCCATTTTCATGTTTCTACATAGTGTAAGACCTAAATTATTTTCAAGCAGTGATTTACTACTGATGCATCAGTTGGGTGGAACCATTGTGGGTTCTGTGGAAATTTGTTTCCTTGAATAAAACCAAGAATTCAAATTCTTTGACTTTTTTTTTTGTCTCCAACGCCCAGGAGTTGATCAAGTCTGTTACTTCTGGGTTTTTTTTAAGCTTTGGGTTCGACTTCAGCCTGAAGCAAAATATTTATCACTGCATGTTTAACTCATGATATCCAAAAACCTCTTTCCATGACTCAACTGGAGCAACACAACCACACGAGTAAATTCAGAGAGGGCACAAAAACTGAAGGAATAAAAGAAATGATGCATGCTGAAACATGAGATCTGATTAACAGATAATGTGAACACTACGAGTCGTGTTTTTTTATACAAATCGTCATTTACGCAAACATGTCCCCAACTCCGTGGTTTAACGTTTCATAAAATACTCATTTCTGTTTCAGTTCACGATCATTTGGAAACGGTGCCTTGGGAATTTGGCTTCAACGAACTGGAAGTCTTCCTTCTGAGCTTCTGGTAATGTTTCTGAAAAAAGGAGGGGAAGAGTGTGACCGAGGATGTTTCTGTGCACGTGTGTTGAATCTTGCATGTGTGTGTGTGTGTGTGTACCTGCAGGTTGTCGTAGTGTCTCTGGCTGCTGCAGTGAAATTCTTTAGCGGTGCTCTCGTTCAAGTAGAAAACGGAGCACAAATTACAGAAGAATCCCGATTTAGGGACCACAAAATCCTGACCTGGGTAGGAAAAGTAAAAAAAAGGAAAAGTTACATATTTCAATTCCAAGTCACAAATGACTTATTTTACTGTGTAAGTTTCTTACCCAGAGGACTGTTGGGGTTAAATGGAGGAAGAGTGAAGTCGGCAGAGACACCAGGAGACTGGGAGCGAGATCGCTTTGCTTCAGGAGCCACAAACTCCAGCTTCCGTTTATCAACTAAAACATAACAGATGAATTCAGATTCTATTGGAGCACTGCCTTTCAAAAAATAAATAAATAGTTACTTAGTAACATATTTTTC